CGACCGTTCCCAGTAATTTGGTGTCTTAACGTACCTTTTGGTGTGCCTTGAAAACATTTTGTTACACTCTTCAGCGTCAGCAATTTCGCCTGCCTTGGAAGGCGGCAGTTAGTTGTGCAGCGGTATTCCAGCTTAGAGAGAACAAGCGATTGAAGAGAATCATCCATGGGCTTGGCGTCCTAGTTTTGAAGGTTCTCATTTATCCATCCCTATCATTTTACTAGGCAGATGCAGTAGATACACTGTTGTGGTCTCTGAAGCGGATCCTCTGAATGATCACCGCAGGTCCTTGGACCATTACTTTTTTGCTCTATTGGTGGTTAGAATTTGTCGTATTAACCCTTATACAGTTATAATTCCTGAAGTGTTTCCATATCTGAGTAGCTGGAAATTTCTCTTCATTAAACTTCATATTGTTTTTGAGTGGCCCATTTAAGATTTGGTTGATGTCCGCTTGGAGTCTTGCGGTTTTATTGTTGCGATGGATGGTCATGTCCTGGCAATTCGGGGGTCATCAGCAAAGGTGACAAGGGGCTATGGTTTACATCATCTGTCTATGTCAGATTGAGGATGAAGAATTAGGGACAGAAGCGAGTACTTGTGCCTTAAGGAACAGAGCTTTTCACCGTATGTATGTGCCTCAACTTTATTCTATTTATTCTTTGTTTGTTCTATTTGTCAAGAATGTTGTAGATCCATCTACCAAACTTTTTGTATTCCTTTATCAGCATTTTATGCACTATTACACCTGTGGACGCACTTGTCAAAAGGCTTTCGTTAAAAGTCTGTATATACCACATTCTGCATTTTGTTTCTATTCCTCATAACATCCAGGACTCGTATAGTGGTCAAGTAGCTGGGACAGGCAGGAGAGCACGTCCTGATCTAAACCCATCGTTGCCCTGGATTGTGTAATTGATGGGTATGTAGGTGGTTGGGCGAATCTTGTTTCTTAGAAACCTTTCAAAGATTTTTGTGATATGGGATGTTAGTCCTGCCGTGTCTGTAGTTATTTGCATTGCTTTACTGCACCTTTGTAGAGTATGGCTATGTCTATTGTTTTAGTGAGTGTGGGAATGACCCTGTGTCCATGCTCTCTCTCCATTGGAATGTGAAGGCACGAGATAGGGAACTCTTCCAGTTCTTAATGACACAGAGTTCATGAGTTGGCTGGGGCAGACAGAGTGCATGGGGCATGTCATTTATTGCCTTTTCAAACGTTCTCGTGGTGTTGGATAATATCAGAGATTTTTGAGATTGGACCAATTTAGGGTCCTCGGTCATAAAGGAATTCATTTAGTATGTTCACCCTTAGTCCGGGAAGGGGAACGGCTGTTGAAACACGGAGTCGTCTGGGACTTTGTAGCTCATTCGTTTCTTTGCTGTCATTCTGTAGATTTGTTTCATCTCGCCTAATCTCCAGTTCGCCGAAATTAAGCCTGAATGCCTTCCACATCCCCCCCCCCCCAGGCGCTGTATATCCTCCGGTTTAGCGGCTTCCCCTTGATTATAATAATCCATCTCGACCTAAGAAGGGGTCCAATACTAATGTGTTTTAACCTATAAGATTTGGCATAAGGAGAAAAGTATTTTTTTTCAGTTTCATTTTATGAAAAAATTTTAGAAAGTGGATTCTTGAACTTATTTAAGTTTAAACTGGGAGAATTTCGCAAAGCTCTTATGTTTGAAACGGCTTATTAAGTTGGTATTGTTGGTGAAGCTTGGGAGCATCGTTGCTTCGTGAATATAAGACTGTTCAGAGCTAGAACATGTGAATTTACATGGCCAGTATTGTCGAAAATTACTGCTGCCAATAGTAATTAGATTATCTTATTATTCTTATTAATATAGCGGTTTTGTAATTCCGGATTTGCACATTTTACTTAGGCAATATATTGACATCACATCCAGACATTTGGAATCTTTACTATCTAAAGAATATGGGACCTGTTACATTCCATCAAATACTAAGAATAGTGTGTCTACGGAAAGTGAAATTTATGTATATACTATAAAGATTAGAATGGGAAAGATTATGTTGGTTCAGCTGTTATATATCCTTAATTATTATGGCTTTTTGAGTATAACTAATGCTACCACACTAAATAGTGAGGGCGTAGAAAGTGTAATTTTATGCTGTCTTGCAGATCTTAGCATGGAAAAGAGAGGAATGATTACTCTTGTTCGACTGAGAAAATCACTAGTTCGTATGAAAGTGAGGAAACTCGATACTGCACTTAAAGTCAGGGTTTGAATATCCAGAATTCGATATTTTTTAATGTGTATATCTAGTATATTCATTAGACTGCTGGGCATCTGAACATCGTTGCGTTTTAGCCAATATTCTCTCAGTTGCTACTTTTATTTCTGTGATGCGTCATAAGTGACTTATCAAAGTATCGCTTAGATAAGTCGTATGTATTCACCGTTCTTGATTCTGTCTTATGAATCTTTGAATGGGCAATCTTTTTCCTAATAAGATTGCGTGTGTGCAGAAATATGTTTGGCATATTCCAGCATCGAGATGTACGATATTGAATACATCATCAGTTTACGTTAGTTTTAAATTGCATCAATATGGTTTTGCCTGCTGAAGAGGATGATATGCCTACCTTTTTTTTCCTGATGTTAGTTCGTGATTGCGTGAAAATTTCTTCCAAATTGAAATTTGTCTTACTAATCGCGCAATTTCTCTCATCTATAGTTTGTATAAAAACGGCCTTTCTCTAGGCTTTTGAAAATAAATCTTCATAGTACTTCTGCAACAACAAAAAAAATGACTAGTACATCTAATAAGGCTTCTACAGGATGGTGATGTCTTGCATATGTCAAGAGAAAAGTTATAAACTACAGGCCACATATTTAAACTCACCATGTAATCTGCATCTGATAAATGGATAAAGTAGGAGAGAATCACACACCATGTGTTGGTGCCCATGACACACCCAAACTGTTGTTGTTGTTAAGGGCCCCTAGAGGTGGTGCAGTATTATCCTGCTGCTGCTCCCCACAGGACCAGTATCACTACAATCTCCCCCTTCTAAAATATCAGAGACAGTAATCTCCCAAACTGTTAGGTGGGCGACGTACACGTCCCGACCTTTGTAGCCCTTGAGCCTCTTCACCAGGTTCGATATTTTCCAGCGGGGTTTGATTAACTGCTGGAGCAGAATCCTCTATTTCCATAGGGGTAGTCTCAAGGGGCTTTCCAGGAGAAAACGAAGCATCTTTCACATCTATTGGTGTATCTTGAGATTCCACACTAATAGGGATTTCAACTGGGGCTAAATGTCTTGTAGATACTGTAGTCTCTTCACCATTTTGGTAGCGAATGTGGGCGTAATGTGGATTAGCTTGCAGGAGCTCTACCTCTTCCACTAAAGGATCCGTCTTGTTCATCCTACGGTGACTCTTCAGGAGAACGGGTCCAGGATGACATAACCAAGTGGGCACGGAGGCTCCCGTAGAGGAACGACGTGAATAGTTGAGGAGTCTTTCATGAGGGGTTGCATTAGTAGCTGTGCACAGCAGTGATCTAATAGAGTGAAGAGCATCAGGTAGGACAGTTTGCCAGTGTTGAACAGGTAGATTGCGCGACTTTAATGTCATTGTAACTGCCTTCCATATAGTACCATTGAACCGCTCCACTTGACCATTGCCTTGAGGGTTGTAGCTTGTTGTTCTGCTGCAGGCAATACCTTTGCTAGCCAAAAACTCCTGAAGTTCGTTACTCATGAACGAGGATCCCCTGTCTGAATGGATATAAGCTGGCATACCAAAAATAGAGAACAACTGTGAAAGACAACTAATAACAGTTGAAGCAGCCATATTTGCACAGGGGAATACAAAGGGAAACCTTGAATATTCATCTACTATGTTAAGGAAATACCTATTCTGATTTGTGCTTGGTAGAGGTCCTTTGAAATCTATATTCAATCTTTCGAAAGGCTGGGTGGATTTTATGAGATGAGTCTTCTCTGGCTGATGAAAGTTTGGCTTGCACTCTGCACATACTCTGCATGCTCTGATCACTTGTCGCACATCTTCCACTGAGTAGGGCATGTTCTTTGATTTGACAAAATGGTACAGGCGTGTAACTCCTGGGTGACACAAAGCCTTGTGGAGAGCTGAGAGTGATTGCAAATCATGACATGCTGCTCCACAGTGGGACCTAGAGAATGCATCAGGTGAGATGTTCTTGACCCGGTCGGTACAGAATATCAAAGTCTAACACATAGTTCCATCCTCCAGCGTAATAAA